AAGATTGGGAGCTAAAATTTTGCGGGGATATTCTATGCCCATATCTAGCCTATATATTTCAAATTCAACTTTGAAATATGCCTAAATCTCGCATGTGCGCAAGTGAAAATTTAGCTTGAAATACTGCTGACACCTATTTAACTCGGTAACCATTAGAAGCTGTATTATTTAAAATTGTTTGCTATTCATGTGCAGTCCAGCAATCGCAAAATCAGCTTTTGCTCACGCATATGTCCTGTGAAGAGACACGTCAAATGTTCATACTGCAATACCGTCATCGTCTTCGTGCAAGCAAGAAGGAGTATACTGCTCGATTCTATAGGGCGCAAAAAAGTAATAGCAGCTACCACACACGCTACCACTTCGTACATAGATGCAACAAATTTCATGCTGCACAAATGTATAATCGCACCAGCAGCACTAGTGTGCGTCGCTACTGGGGTTTTCATTGCACTATGGAGATTGCAGAATCCAAAAGAGGGGGAATTTTTTGTTAGCTTCTGATGCTGAACCATTCGCTTTGGGAGAAGTTCGGCGTTCCTGCATTTTTGTGCGGAAACTGCTTTATTTTGGCTTCGCCGTACTGCTGAAGAATTTCTAATTTTCAGTGCTTTTTGAAAAACGCTGCACTATAGGGCAAGCCGGTTTTTGCGTTTATATGTTACAAGGCTCTTGTCCAAGGATGCTCTCAAAAAAGAAAATTTTCGACCCCTACTGAACTGACTGCTTTATGAAATTCTTACAATGTGATCGGCTTGTGGCCGTAGTTCGTTAATGCCGCACACTCCGGACAGCACACCTACAGTACCACCAAGATTGGCAGAACGCCCCATGCCCATGTCGGCCAAAGTATCACCCACTACAAGTGTATCCTGCAAAAAACCACTGTGAAAGAACTAATAAATTTCGTATAACTTTATGCCTTTTACCGGTCCTGGATAAGCAAACATCAAAAAGTTCTGCAGTAAACGTTATTTTGAATGAATTTCAATTTTCTAGCATGATCCTGAATCGATTAACAAATGCCTGCAAGCAGTCTAAGCTGTCGAATTCAAAATCTTAAACGAACCTGAGGATCAACGTCAAGTGTCCGACAAATGGAAAGAGCATTGTGTGGGTGCGGCTTCGGCATAGCGCCAGCGTCATCTCCACAAACTACCATATCAACGTGTTTCTCCAGACATAATTTTTGCAGTGCTGTCAATGTTCCCTTTCTGTAATTCCTTTCACTTTTACAATCCGGCAGAATGCACTCAAAATCTACCGTCAGATAAAAATTAAAATTGAAGAAAAGAACAGAACATCTTTGCGACATTCACAAGTGGTCAGAAAAAGTAACAGCAACTACTAAAGACAAAACTGAGCTATTTCTATCGGGCTACCTATGATCTTTTTGAAGTCAGTTGTTTCTCCACATGCATCTGTCAAATTACAAGCACTTGTTCCGTTTTTACCCCGGGTGATCTAGCCCTAAGAAGTAATGGCCACAACTGTGCAGAAGTAAAGCTTGCTTATGGTCAGAATATCGCGTCGCACTTCTGGTCTACGTCCGACAACACTCTCAGTCCCAACAGCAGCTAGTCTTCCACGAAATGGCTTAGTACAGTGCAGCGTGTGGTGCAAATGGGCTGATGCAAACGAATGGAAGCACAACAGATGCACTTTGCAAACTGCTCTTCTCAATCACATTTGGAAACCGAATAATCCGAATGAGTAAATATACTGTCGAATTGTGGAAGACGGACAAGTTAAATTAATTTGATACCGGCTATCGGATGTGCAAATGGCAATTTTGATTCCATTTTCTTGAAGTTGTCGAAAAAGTGAACGCAAATCATAAATTTCCTTGATACATTGCGCATTGCATTTGTTTGATTCCAAAATTGCTGCCATAACAAGCTGACAAAAAGTTGAACGTTTTTTAAAAATGTCTTTTTTAAAGCCAATTTTTAATTAGTACAGAACACTTGAATTAGATTTCATGCCCTCTTCGTCGAATTTTGCGCCCAACTCGCCCAATTTTTTACCCCTCCGGCAAAATTTTGCTCTGCTTTATCAAATTTCTGGCTTTTCTGACTAACTTCTGCCCTCCCACCCCTGTAGAATTTTGTGCCGTTCTGTTTAAAGTTTGTGTTCCTAATTCTAGTTCATGTGCATTTCACACTTAGAGCAAACGATATGGATAACCTGCCCCAACATATTCTGTGACATATTTTTTTCTTACACAAATTCATTTATTATTTGTTCTTGCTGTGCAGCGATGTAGCGCTGCAACAGTCAGCAAGAACGCGTATTTTCGAGAGGTCGTCTGTGTGTGTGTTTGGAAACGTGTGAACTTTGTAACCCATTTTCACTTCAGCAATCAAAAAAGCTGGGAGGCTGAAATTTTGGGTCTATGTTCCTACCCCGCGTGTCATTCTTCCGTTTTAAAATTTTTGCTCATACGTACCTATACCCCCGTGCAGACCCCCAAGAAAATATTCAAATTTCTTTGGCGATAAACGATTTAGCGAACTAGGCAAAATACACAGCTAAAACTTTGTAGGGATATTCTCTGTGTTTTTCATTTGCGAGCTAAAGATTTCAAACTCAACTGTCGTGCACGCTTGTGCAGCGCGTACGATCATGTCAAAGTTTGCAAGTTGGTACTGTGCTAACGCAAAAACTTGCTTGCAAACAGTGGCTGAAATTTTATCGGCATATTTACCGCCCATATGGGAAATCGTGCACCTAAAGGAGTATCGATTTACACTTGTGTTACGACTTACGACACTTCAAAGATATTTGTAGCGAAGTGGATATTTCTCTTACCGGACACGATGCGAGGCTAAAAGATCACTGGGATATCCTACTTTCAAGTGTGATCTTAATTTTGCTTGGAAGTGAAATTTCTTGCAGGTGCTTACGAGGAATACTCAACTTTACTGAAAAATCAGAAAAAATGCATTTTGCAGCGGACGACCACTCTCATCCCTCTCCCAACATATAAATGAACTTATTTACATATTTGAATTTTCTGACGAGCGACCGCTCTAGCATCGTTTCCACTTTTTAGTGAACTGAAAATTTGCATTTTTTCGAAGAGCGAGCATCTACCGGAAAAACGATCGGGCTTCATGCAAAAAAACTGATAATTATGTACCTGGGGGTCCACACTGTCCTATAATGCAGCACCTTCATTCCAGCCGACACCCTTTCCCCTGCATGCCGGAAGAGGCCAAAACAGGGCCAATATGAGTTCAAGTGTTAAAGTACAACGCAGGGATCATTCCTGCTATTAGCGATCTGCAAGTTGAGTGGGAAACACATGATCGCACTGAAAAGCCTGGTGCGCTCCAGCCTGGGTTTTTATGCGTTTTTGCAAATATGCAAATCAAAAACGCATATTGTGACGACCCCGATGTATTTACGTGTGTATAATATGTAAGGATGTATATGTGTATGTATGTATGTATGTATGTATATGTATGTATGTATGTATGTATGTGTGTATGTATGTATGTGTGTATGTA